AATCAGCACTTTGTGAATGTGTTACTCATTTCTGCCCTGAAAGGCAAGAAAAACATTACGCTCTGGGAATTAACCAAGAACAGTTTGTTTCAAACACTTTTTCCAGACTTAGGTTTTCCAGCTCTGCTCCTCTCCTCACCGCTTCCTCAGCGGCAGCTGGGCAGGGTGGGGGGTGGCGCGAGGCCCCTCCCCGCAGGCCTCTTCCAGAAGGTTCTGGGCGGCCACACCTGCCTTACCTCAGCGCTGCCCTCCCCACAGCCCTGCCAGAACCGGGCTAGGCTAGCTTCCTTTGCATCGCGGAAGGCAAAACGTCAATCAGGCTTCTCAAGCAAAGCCCTCGCAAGGCATTTAAAATCAGTTTAGGTGCACCAGAGGTGGGAATAGGGGCCTAGGAAGATGCTGCAGGTGGCAGCAGCGCCTCAGAGGCTGGGCCAGCAGCAGAGCCCTCCTTGGCTGGCTCCACTGGAGGCTTCAGCACCCAGGCTGGCAGGGTTAGGTTATGGGATGGCAGGGTTACGTTAATGGCTTGACTTGATGATCTTAAAGGTCTTTTCCAACCTAGACGATTCTATGATTCTAATCCTAGGTTCTCATCAAAATCAACCCACTCCTTCACCTTCCTGGGGAAGCGCCATGATTCCTCACAAGCCCATTCTCCCCACCCAAGACTTCATGACTGCAAAGTTGCTTCTTCCTCCCCTGCTCAGGCCTGCTTAAAAACTGGCAGAAAAGAGAGGGGATACCCTTGATATTTTGTGCAGTTGTGTTTTGTTTCGGGGGGGAGCTAAGCAAGTTGAGGATAGTTCTCCACATAAGTTCACTGAATCATAGAACCATTTAGATTAGAGAAGACCTTTAAGATCATCAAGTCCAACCATTAGCCTAGCACTGCCAAGTCCACCACTAACCCACGACCCTAAGCACCACGTCTACACGCCTTTTAAATACCTCCAGGGATGGGGAGTCAGCCATTTGCCTGGACAGCCCATTCCAATGCTTGACAAACCTTTCAGTGAAGAAATTTTTCCTAATACCCAATCCAAACCTCCCCTCACACAACTTGAAGCTATTTCCTCTCATCCTATCGCTTGTAACTTGGGAGAAGAGACTGACGCCCACCTGACTACAGCCTCCTTTCAGGCAGCTGTAGAGGGCGATAAGGTCTCCCCTCAGCCTCCTCTTCTCCAGGGTGAACAACCCCAGTCCCCTCAGCCGCTCCTCCCAGGACTTGTGCTCCAGACCCCGCACCAGCTTCGTTGCGCTTCTCTGGGCACACGAAGTTGGACAGTTAATGATTAAAGCCACTCAGCCAGGCCACCTGGAAGACTCGCTGCTGAACTGCTTGGTTTCAATATGAAAACTAAATCGGTATTTAAAGACTGACCTGATCTGATTTTTTTCTGGGTGGTGTAAAACATTCTGGGTCACAACCACCCCTTATTTCAAAGCAGTAGAACTAAACTGTGGACATCAATGCGAAACCTTGCTTTCTCTGACGCTACTGGAAGAGCTTTCTGGAGAAAAGCCCGCCTTCCCGACCTCCGAATTACCACCCGCCTGCTGCAACCCCTGCCCGCCCAGAGAGGGGCGGAGGCGCGGCGCTTCGGCACGCACGCCTCTCCTGGGAACAGCCCCACGTCTGCTCCGTGTTTCACAAAGCCACACCGCGGCTCCCGGGCCTAAACGG